GATCATGCCGTGGGGTCACTTAGGGCAGGTCATTTGGCCTGGGGGCTGCGGGATCTGCCCCAGCTCAAACAGGCTCTGTCCCAGCCCCGGGCTGTCCGCATGCAGCCCTGGACTATCCCCACTGGCTTCCCAGATTCCCCGTCTCACCAGCCGCACATGCCGGGTGTCCCCAGTCAGCGAACCCCCAGCCCCCGGGCCTGTGCCGCCCGTGCCGAGCAGAGCACTGGCTCCCACCCTGCACCCAGCACGCCCCTGGGAGGAGATGGGCCGAATGGCTCCGTGTCCATCGTCTCAGCGGCTCTGGAACTGAGGCACTCGGCTTGCAGCTAAAAAGACACTTTTTTGGTCTTGCTGCCCTGGCTCCCTGTTCGATTTTCATTTGTTTTTTTCATTGCCCGCCCCTGGCACGGCCAGCCGGGGACCTGAGAGCCCAGCTGAGCTTCCCCCTTCACCAATCAGTGCTGGTCAGAAGGGCCTGCAGGTCCCTTCCTGCAGGCCGGGGTGACTCCCTGGAGCCTTCCAATTCTCTGCTTGGAACCACTGGGGCTGGAACGAGAGGCGCTGGGGGGCTGCTGCCTCCCCTTAGAATCATAGAATATTAGGGTTGGAAGGGACCTCAGGAGGTAACTAGTCCAACCCCCTGCTCAAAGCAGGACCAATCCCCAACTAAATCATCCCAGCCAGGGCTTTGTCAAGCCGGGCCTTAAAAACCTCTAAGGATGGAGATTCCACCACCTCCCTAGGGAACCCATTCCAGTGCTTCACCACCCTCCTAGTGAAATAGTGTTTCCTAATATCCAACCTAGACCTCCCCCACTGCAACTTGAGACCATTACTCCTTGTTCTGTCATCTGCCACCACTGAGAACAGCCGAGCTCATCCTCTTTGGAACCCCCCTTCAGTAGAGGGATAGTTCAGTGGTTTGAGCATTGGCCTGCTAAACCCATGGTTTTGAGTTCAATCCTTGAGGGGGCCATTTAGGGAACTGGGGTAAAAAAAAATCTGTCTGGGGATTAGTCCTGCTTTGAGCGGGGGTTGGACTAGATGACCTCCTGAGGTCCCTTCCAACCCTGATATTCTATGAAATCTAGTTGAAGGCTGCTATCAAATCCCCCCTCGCTCTTCTCTTCTGCAGACTAAATAACCCCAGTTCCCTCATGTGCCCCAACCCCCTGATCATTTTTGTTGCCCTCCACTGGACTCTCTCCAATTTGTCCACATCCCTTCTGTAGTGGGGGGCCCAAAACTGGACACAATACTCCAGGTGTGGCCTCACCGGTGCCGAATAGAGGGAGAAATCACTTTCCTAGATCTGCTGGCAGGTAGTTATAACAAACGTTGAATACGTGGTTTCTAGCCAGCACCCCTGCTTGGGACACCTCTGTTTCTCGTGGCCATGGCCGTGGGCAGCAGGGTCTGTGGATGACGCCCCAGGAGGAGCGGACTCCGGCCCTTTCTCCCTTTTCTGGGGTAGCTGTGCTGGAACCCAAAGCCGGGAAAGCTGCGTTAGTCACCCGGGCCAGCAGCCCCGGCCCAGGACACCCCCAGGAGGCGGAGGGTGATGGGAGGAAAGGGCCGTTTTTTTCAAACACTCATTTTTCAGAGCAGAACCACAGTCCAAAGAAAAATAATTTTTCAACGGCTTTCCAAATTCTTGGGCAAAACTGCTGCTTCTCACAGTTCTTGTGTTTTCTTAAAAGCCGCGGGGACGGATCCTCGCCTTCTCTTACGCCGCCGTAGCTCTGCTGCTCGCCGTCGAGCTGCCCCCACTTTACGCCGGGCCGGCGAGGGAAGGATCTCGCCCCCGAGGGAGGGAGGGAGCAGCTCCGGTTGTGGTTAGCAGCCTCCTGCCATGCGATCGTGCTGAGCGGAGATTCTGCTCTGCAGAGCGACTCAAGGAAAACATTGCCGAAGTGCTGCCAGAGCAGAGCGGGCTTGGCACGCGGGGCTTTTCCTGATGCAATCCCAATTAACCTTAATCGGAGCCATATTCAAAGCAGTCAGCGCGCCCAAAATGTCAGGGAGGTCTGGCACGAAGAACCCGCTGCCTCTTGGGTTTCATCTCAGTTCTAAATTGGGGGGGATTTTTCCTTCCTTCGCACACACGCAAAGGTGGCTGGGAACCTGGCGTGGGTGTTTTTTAATGGCAGGTGGTCCTGCTACAGCGCTCCTTTCCCCGCTCCTAGTAACCACCTTCCGGCACTTCCCCCCAAGCCACGAAATGGGGAAATCGGGTACGGAGGGGATGTGCTTTTCTTGGTTTTGTTCTTGGACGGACTCTCTGGGAAACACTAGCCAAGTGGAAAACGACCGTCAGAGCGTGACTCACTGGAGCAGGGGCTGGGCCAGAAGTGGGGTGACTGGGGCGTTCCCTGGATGGGCCTGCTGGTCACGCGGCCGCTGGGCAGCGTCGGGTCTGGGAAAGGGGCCACTGGGCCTGGACCCCTTTGGCCCTGTGCATGGGCTGGCCCATGTTCCCTGGCAGGCAGCACGTGGGCTCACACTCATGCTTGGGCTCAGGAATCCAGTCTGCCGGCTCCTCCTCGCCGGGCACCGGGCACAGGTTTCATCAGAGGCTGGCATACACCGGGCACGGCCGTGGGGCAGTCTGAGCCTGGCTTGCTGGGCCGTCGGGGCGAGAGGGGAGGGGAGGGGGTTCGTTTAGGCAGTTGGAGCCTCTACAGTCGCCGGCCACTGGTGATCCAAGCCCAGCCCCGCTCGCCACAGCGCCTGGCAACGCAGGTTCCCGCTGTGCTGGCCGTGGTGTGTGTGTGGGGGGGATCCAGACTCTCCTCACTCCCAACCCCCCAGGCCTAAGTCTGGTGTAAGCTCAGGGGTGACTCCAAAGAAGACAGAGGGATCCCCCACCCCATGGCGGGAGCAGGCCCAAAGGGGGGCACAGGAGCTCCAGGCTGGGCAGCAAAGGGTCTGAGCTCCTAGCGGGCGACCCTACCGCCCCAGGGGACACGCCCCGACCCCCTGGCAATGCCCTCGCTGCCAGGCTGGGCCCGGCCGGGGGTCGCCCATTTGTGTCCATTAAACAGGGAAGATGATGAACGTGCAATAATTCGCTTTATCAAATGGCTGCAGCAAAATTCCCCAGGTGGGATCCCCAAGGCGCCAGTTCCCCCCCCCCCCCCACCTCTTCACACCCCTCCCCAGGGACTAGCGTGGCCCTGCTAGGATGCACACACACTGGGAAGAGAGCTCAGGAGTCCAGACCCCCTGACTCTCCTCCCAAAGCTGGAAACAGAACCCAGGAGTCCTGGCTCCCAGCCTGCCCTGCTCTAACCACTAGACACCACTCCCCTTGTATCCCCAGTGGAGACCAGTGCTTAGAGTAGTAGGAAGCCAGAGTAGGACTCCTGGGTTCTATTCCCAGTTCGGTCAGAGAACCCAGGAGTCCTGTCTCTCGGTCCCCAAGCTCTAACCGCTAGATTCTCCTCCTTTTCCATAGCTGGGAAGAGAACCCAGGAGTCCTGATGCCCAGCTCCTCCCCCCAATACTATGCTATGTTCCCATGGAACCATGGGCCCTACAGACTCCCCCTGTGCACGGTGCCCCCCATGGTCCTGCCTGTCTGTGCATCTGTCCTGACGGCCCGACCTGTCTGCTTGCTCCTGCAGGATGAGTTCCATCCGTTCATCGAGGCGCTGCTCCCCCACGTCCGGGCCTTCGCCTACACGTGGTTCAACCTGCAGGCCCGCAAGCGCAAGTACTTCAAGAAGCACGAGAAGAGGATGACGAAGGACGAGGAGAGGGCGGTGAAGGACGAGCTGCTAAACGAGAAGCCCGAGGTCAAGCAGAAGTGGGCATCCCGGCTGCTGGCCAAACTACGCAAGGACATCCGGCCCGAGTTCCGGGAGGACTTTGTGCTCTCCATCACGGGCAAGAAGCCCTCATGCTGCGTCCTCTCCAACCCCGACCAGAAGGGCAAGATGCGGCGCATCGACTGCCTGCGCCAGGCTGACAAGGTGTGGCGCTTGGACCTGGTCATGGTGATCCTCTTCAAGGGCATCCCGCTGGAGAGCACGGACGGGGAGCGGCTGGTCAAGGCGGCCCAGTGCACCAACCCCATCCTGTGCGTCCAGCCCCACCACATCAGCGTCTCCGTCAAGGAGCTCGACCTCTACCTGGCCTACTTCGTCCGTGAGAGAGGTAGGCGCTGCCCGCGGCTCCCCCGGGGCCGGGTTTGCATTGCATTGCCGCCTGGCACTGCGGGAGGGGATGGGGCTGTGCCCAGAGGCCATCCCCAGCGGGCAGGAATCCAGGCCCAGTTCTTCCCTGTTTTGGGGACTTTGACCTGCAAAGATGAACCTGGGAACCAACTCGCCCCAAATTCTCTGCCTCAGGGACCGGTGCCCCAGCCACCCAACTCCCTGCCAGCCGCCCGGATCCTCAGCCCCTCCCCACTCCCACCAAATGCGGCACAGCCCCCAACCCTGCTCCTTTTCCTGGGGTCTCCCAAAATGTAAGCCTTGGTGTAAATGCCAGCCTGGGTGTGCCATCTCCTGCCCATCTGGAATGGATCCTGGCTGTTGGTGGTTTTGTCCTTGGTGAGTTGCCAGAGGTGGCTGCATGTCAGTGGTGGGGCGGGGGCAGGGCGGTTGTGTGCAGTCTTGGGGTCCTTCGGAATGCGGCATGTGCCTCCCTGCGGGATCTAGGCACCCACCCACCATCGCGCCATCTCCGGGTGCTCCCCAGCCAACAGCAAGGGCAGCTCCCCTCCCTGGGGCCATGTGGCTGCGGGGTGCATTGAAGGGTGGAGTAGGCGGCCTGGCAGTGCAGGGACAGCCTCTACCCAGTGCATCTCGGGGGAGAAGGGGGGGCTGCCTGGGTGCCCGGGGGCAGGGATCCCGGCCTTGGCAGGGCTGCATTCACCTGCAATGAGAGCCCAGAAGGGCAGGTGCTGAGCCAGCCAGCTCTGCTCGCAGCGCGGGGGCAGGCGGAGGGACTGGGCCCGTGGGCAGGAATATGGGCATGGCTGGGAATGTGGGACAGCAGGTGAAATGCCAGGGGAAAGTCAGCCCAGCACCGCCCGGGCAGTGAGAGCGGAGACAGAGCTGGGGCTGAGGAGACAGCGTGCTGGCAAGGGCACGTGGTAGCCAGCAAGGCCGGCTCCATGCACAGAGGCATTGGTAAGAGCTGGGAGGTGATGCCCCCACGGGAAGCCCTGCAGGAATATCGGCCTTCGTTCTGCCCCCGAGACACTGCAGGGAGCTCCGAGGTCGGGGGCTCCACATCACAGTTCATGCCACGGTTTCAGTGCTGGCTGCTGATTCTGGGCCCCTGGCTTTCCAGCTGCCCTGATTTGCAGAGGTGCCAAGTGCCAAGAAAATACTATAGGGTGCAATAATCCCCAGTGACTCCACTGTGGCCAGGATCCCCAGAGCGCAGCCAGGGGGCCGTGGTGATAAATCTGGACCGGGAGCGACGGGCGGGGCCGGTTCCGGCTGTGGGAGCTCTGCTGAGGCTGCAGACCCAGCTCCCGAGGGAGGGGACGAGGCTGCAGCGCCCTGACCCCGAGAGGCTGCCTGGGCTTCCCCGGCTTTAGCACCTAGGAGCCAACGCTGGGTTTCTCCCTGGCCACGCAGCAGTGCCCTGTGACTTTGCTGGGGTGGGGAGGATGCTGTTGTTATTTCTGATGGTAGCACCCCCAGGCTCCGCTGGGCTTGGTGCTGTACAGACACCGACCGAGGACTTGGCTCCATGGGAAAAGTGGACTCAAGCTTTGGCATCACTAAGACTAAGCCCCGGGCACCTCACTTCCATTGATTCCAGTGGAGCTGGACCTACGGGATGGCTCTTCCCTGAAAAGCTCCCAGTCTAAATAGACAAAACACGGGAGGAGGGGGGGGGGAACTGAGGCATGGCACAGGGACGTGACTTGCCCGAGGTGTCATGGCAGGTGCGTGTCAGAGCCGGGCGTAGAGCCAGGAGTCCCAGGCTAGAGCCTTAGCCACTGGTGGGTCAGAGGTTTAGCTGGCGTGTGAAGCGGTCGGTGTTTGTCCCCGGCGGGTTGCTGTCCCGCGCTGGTACCCGGCACTCTGACAGACCCACTCCGGCGCAGGACGTTTGGGGCCACAAGGGACTGGCTGCGGCTCACCGAGGCCGGAAGCTCATGTGCTGTGAGTGATTTGTTGGGCCCTGGTCTCGCCGGCTGGCTCTCTGTGATTCCCCCTCCGGATTGTGCGTTCTCCCTTCAGCATGGGCGGAACCTCTGGGGTCCCGCTAGAGCCCTCTCCCCGCCCTCAGCACACGCTCTGGGGCCACGTGCTGATCCCAGAGCCCGGAGCGTGACCCGCCCTGGCCGGCGCGGACGGGGATGGAACAAGGGACTGTGTCGGCGGAAGGGAAGTAGCGTTTGCCCTCTGGCTGCTCCGCGGCTGGGATCTGGGGAGGTTTGCTGCAGTCAAGGCCACCGTTTGATTCCAAGACTTTAATCCACACACAATGCAGAAGGAGATTTAGCCCCACCCCTGGGAGCATCTGACTTGAGCCCAGCACAAGCCCAGACAGATGGGAGGGGGGGTCTGGGTGGCACTGGGGGTGGGAGCATGGGACCAGAGCCCGGGAAATGGGGCCAACACTGCAGTGGGAATGTGGGTGCAGCAGGACTCAGGAATCAGGACCCCGCTGCACTTGGAGAAGTTCAGCGACTTGGCCTGGGATTGCTCCTTGCAATGGATTGGTAGATACTGGTTTCCGCCCGAGGCAGAGACCCTGGCCCTTCCGTTCCCAGCCCAGTCATGGGTGCCACAGGCTCTCGCTGTGCCTGGCTCCGGGACTAGAGGGGCCAGGCCAGAGCTCCCGGTACCCATGCCCCAGGGAGCTAATCTGAAACAAGGCAGGCAGGCGAGGACTTTGCTGCAGGGATCGCCTCGGGACCCCCGAGATCTCTGCTGGGCTCTGGCACGCCTTGTCCCTCCCCAGCCAACGGCAGACGGGAGAGCCCCCACTCCCAGCGTCCTAGCCCAGGCCCACGGGCAGATAGTGACCCGAGTGGGCATTTCAGTGGCTGCCGTTCCAGCAAAGGGGACCTGACAACGCCGTCAATCACGCGAGGAGCAAACGCGTACGCTGGGGAAATCGGAGAAGACATTTGATTTGTTATGTGCTTTCCCCTCCCCCGCCAGGCTGGTGTTCCTGGGGGTGGCAGGTTGCGGGGATGGCGAGGGGCGGGGGCGCCGTCCTGGGAGCAGGGCAGACCCTGCTGCTGCTCGGCATCACGTGCTTGAATACTGGGGGGCTGCCGGGCTCTGGGGCCAGGTGTCTGTGCCGACTGGATTCTGCTTTTCTCAATCAGTTAGCACCTTAATTAATCTCCGGTGGATTCTCGGTGGAGGCTGCTGGACACAGACAGGCCCCGTGGTTCTCTCTGGCTCCCCACCGGGTCTCTCCTGGAAGGGGTCAGCCACCTACTCTGCAGCGGCCCAGAGCGGGGTGTGATGTTAGCGTGCGTCGTCATAGTCACACGCTGGGCCCGGCTGGGGCAGCCAATCGAATTTCACACCTGCCTCTGGAGGGCGCCGCCAGGGAACGCTGTGACTGGTATTTCTGCCGCCGTAAGGCCGAGCGTGGCGGCTCCTCTCTGCCGGGCGGGGATGTGGCATGCCGGGGGGGTGCTGTTCTCCGGGGGGGGGGGGGGGGGAGCCTGTGGGCAATGCAGAGAGAGCAGCTGGGAGGGATGGGACTGCGCCACCCCAATACAACAAATGTGGGGTGCAAATCTCCCTCCCATGCGTCGCTGCCTCCCCAGCATCAACCCCACTGCAGTGCGGGGGGCACCCCAGGAGCGCCAAAGAGCCCCTCTCCGGAGCAGAAAGAGGAAACCTCTGACTGCACCCGCCTACCTCCCCCCGAGAGACGCAGCAGGGCAGGCCGAGGAAGGCTCCGCTCTGAAGTGTGCCCGGGGGCAGGGGCGTTGGGGGGCCACGGTGACCTGGCAGGCTGTGGTGGGGCAGGCCTGGGGAGAGATGGGCATCAGCATTCTGCTCCGCGCCTGCTCCCTCCGCGGGCTCCTCTGGGGGCGTGAGGGCAGCGGGACACGGTGGGGAAGGAGCCAGACCAGAATGTGTAATAAAGTGTGTGTGGGGGGGTCCCTGTGTTTGCAGGGACCGTGAGGGGCTGGGGCGGACCTTGGCTCGGATCTGCCCTCTCTGACCCCGGGGTCAATCCGGAGTCACTCCGGAGTCACCCCAGCCAGGCTGGAGTCGGGCCTGCCCGCCCCTCAGCCTCCCGCAGACAGAGCTGCTCCAGCCGCGCGGCTCGGCTGTCCCATGGGTGCTGCGGCAGCGCCCAGGGGCCCAGCCGGAGGGGGGGGGACCGCCTCTGGGGAGACCCCGCCCCCCCCAGAGGAGACGCGGGGGGGCACCTCCCCCGCTGCCTCCGACCTTGACACCAGACGTCTGGGTCCCCGGGCAGCCGGAGTCACCTGACCCGCCCGGCTGGCAGCGCGCAGCTGATAAGGCTCCGGAGCTGCCGCCGGCTCCGGCCGCCTCTTAAGGTGGCGCCGCGTCCCCACTTAAGGCGGAACCCAGCCGGCCCGTGTGTGATGGGGGGGGACGGGGACGGAGGGGCGGGGCTGAGGTGTTCTGCGATCAAAGAGAAACAACCAAGGGTTTGATGGAAACCCCTGGATCTCACTGACGCCACCGGGTGTGAATCCAGAGTCACTCCAGATTTACACCAGTGCAGCTGAGATCTGAAATTGGGCTTTCTGGCCCTGATCCTGCTGGGGGAAATGAACCGGCCTAGCCCCTACGGAACATTCCCATGCAGACATTCTTATCATGGATTAGTTATTACTGTAAATTCACACCCTACCTTAATCTGAATTAGCATTCAGGTGTAGACAAGCTGTTATGCTAGACCAGTGGGAGGGGAAGCTGAGACAGCTCCCTGCCTGCCAGCAGCAGCCCCTTCCTCAGGGCATCTGGGCCTTCTCCTCTGTAGATCTTAAAGCGCTTTACAAGCGGGTCATAGTCTTTATCCCCATTGTACAGATGGGGAAACCAAGGCACAGGGAGGAGAAGTGATTTCCCCCAGGTCACCCAGCCGGCCATGCCAGGGATAGAACCCCGGTCTTCTGAGTCCTAGTCCAGGGCTCTAGCCACTAGGCCATGCTGCCTCAGTAAAAGATGATTCCAAACCATCAC